TCAGCCCTCACTTTGTTCTCAGCATTCAAGGGTCTCTCATGGTTTGCTTCCCTCCCTCTCCCCCACTATTTTTCCCCTTCTTCTCCCCCATGGTCCTCTGTTAAGTTCCTCTTAATCCACCTATACAGCAAACATATGGTATCTGTCTTTCTCTGCCTGACTTATTTCACTCAGCATAACACCCTCAAGTTCCATCCATGTTGCTACAAATGGCAAGATTTCACTCTTTCTCATTGCCACGTAGTATTCCATTGTATAGATAAACCACATCTTCTTGACCCATTTATCACCTGATGGACACTTAGACTCTTTCCATGTTTTGGCTGAGTTTTGGTTGTTGAGAGTGTTGCTATGAACATTGGGGTACATGTGCCCCTATGCATCAGCACTCCTGTGTCCCTTGGGTACATTCCTAGCAGTGCTATTGCTGGGTCATAGGGGAGTTCTATTGTTAATTTTTTGAGGAACCTCCACACTGTTTTCCAGAGGGGCTGCACCAGTTTGCATTCCCACCAACAGTGTAGGAGGGTGCCCATTTCTCCACATTCTTGCCAGCATCTAGAATCCTCTGATTTGTTCATTTTAGCCACTCTGATTGGCGTGAGATGGTATCTCAGTTTGGTTTTGATTTGTATTGCCCTGATGAGAAGGGATGTTGAGCATTGTTTCATGTGTCTCTTGGCCATCTGGATGTCCCCTGTGAAGAAGTGTCTGTTCATGTCTTCTGCCCATTTCTTCACTGTATTATTTGTTTTTCAGGTGTGGAGTTGGTGAGTTCCTTATAGATTTTGGATACTAGCCTTTTATCTGATATGTCATTTGCAACTATCTTTTCCCATTCCATCAGTTGCCTGTTAGTTTTAAAAGTGCAAGTACAAAATCTAAGAGCTCACCTAAAGGAACTAGAAGAAGAGCAATAAGATCACCCAATAAACAAAATCATGAATGAAAATGGACTTACTACAACCAACCTCTCAGAAATACAAGCAATTATCAGGGAATACTATGAAAAATTATATACCAACCAACTGGGCAACTTAGAAGAAATGGACAAATTCCTACACACTCACTACCAAAATTCACACAGGAAGAGATAGAAAATCTGAACAGACCCATAAAAAGTGAAGAAATAAAATCAATTATCAAAAAACTCCCAACAAATAAGAGCCCTGGACCTGATGGCTTCCCTGGGGAATTCTACCAGACATTTAAATCAGAGTTAATACTCATTCTTTTCAAGCTATTCCAAAAAATAGAAATCGAAGGGAAACTTCCATACTCATTCTACGAAGCCAGTCTCACTTTGATTACCAAGCCCGACAGAGACCCAGCAAAAAAAGAGTACAGGCCAATATCCTTGATGAATACAGATGCAAAAATCCTCAATAAGATCCTTGCAAATCGAATTCAACAGGACATAAAAAGAATTATCCACCATGATCAAGTGGGATTCATTCCTGGGTTACAGGGCTGGTTAAACATTCACAAATCAATCAATGTGATACAACATATCAATAAAAGAAAAGATAAAAACCATGTGATCCTGTCAATAGATGCAGAAAAAGCATTTGACAAAATACAGCATCCCTTCTTAATAACGACCCTTGAGAAAGTTGGGATAGAAGGAACCTACGTAAACATCATCAAAGCCATCTATGAGAAGCCTTCAGCTAACATCATCCTCAAAGGGGAAAAACTGAGAGCTTTCCCCCTGAGATCAGGAACAAGACAGGGATGTCCACTCTCACCACTGATGTTTAACATAGTGCTGGAAGTCCTAGCATCAGCCATCAGACAAAAAAGGAAATCAAAGGCATCAGAATTGGCAAAGAAGTTAAACTTTCACTTTTCGCAGATGACATGATACTCTACATCGAAAACCCGACAGACTCCACCAGAAGCCTACTAGAACTGATCCATGAATTCAGCAAAGTTGCAGGGTACAAAATCAACGTACAGAAATCGGTTGCATTTTTAGACACCGATAATGAAGCGATAGAAAGAGAAATCAAGAAACTAATCCCCTTCACAACTGCACACACACACAAAAAAACATAAAATACCTAGGAATAAACCTAACCAAAGATATAGGAGATCTGTATGGTGAAAACGATAGAAAACTTATGAAGGAAATTGAAGAAGACACAAAGAAATGGAAAAACATTCTATGCTCATGGATAAGAAGAATAAATATTATTAAAATGTCATTACTACCCAAAGCAATCTACACATTCAATGCAATCCCAATCAAAATTGCACCAGCACTCTTCTCAAAGCTAGAACAAGCTATCCTGAAATTTGTAAGGAACCACAGAAGACCCCGGATAGCCAAATTAATGTTGAAGAAGAAAACCAAAATGGGAGGCATCACAATCCCAGACTTTAGCCTCTACTCCAAAGCTGTCATCATCAGGACAGTATGGTATTGGCGTAAAAACAGACACATAGACCAATGGAATAGAACAGAGAACTCAGAATTGGACCCGCAAATGTATGGCCAACTAATCTTTGACAAAGCGGGAAAGAGTTTTCTGTGGAAAAAAGACAGCCTCTGTAACAGATGGTGCTGGGAGAACTGGACAGCACCATGCAGAAGAATGAAACTAGGTCATTTTCTCACACCATACACAAAAGTAAACTCAAAATGGATAAAGGACCTGAATGTGAGACAGGAACCGATCAAAACCCTAGAGGAGAAAGCAGGAAACAACCTCCTTGACCTCAACTGCAGCGATTTCTTACTGGACACATCTCCAAAAGCAAGGGAGTCAAGAGCAAAAATGAACTATTGGGACCTCCTCTGAAGCCTGTTTTTAAATGACTCCAATTTTACAACTGCATTTTATGAAAGAAGAGTAAAAAATAACCAATTTGGCTATCCCTTGATGTTCGGGAAAAAAAAACCCGATTTCTCCACCTAAAAATAAGTAGTGTAGAGTGAAACCTCCCAATTCAACAACTGTGAGTACTTGAAAACTGATTTTGTTGAAAACCTGTTAAAAGATACTAAGGCTCTGCCAGCGGGACCGGAGGTAAGGCGGCGTGCTGCCACCTGCTTACAATGCGATTCGACTGGGTCCCCCTCAGACTGGTCCAGCGCGACCCCGGCAACTCCGGGGCGGTGGGGGAGGGGGAGCACTCCGGGGGCGTGGAGGGGGGCACAAAGGGTCACTCCTGGGGAGCTTTAGTCCCAGAACCGGATCGGCAGCTGTGCGTTGAACACACTGTTACGGATCCCACCTCCAGGATCACGATGCGCCTGGGATCTGGACTCCCTGCAGGGAAAGCTGTGTGCCCCTGACTCTGGGCAAAGGTTACAAAGTGTCTGAAAAAGGGGCGCAGTGGCACTGGAGGGGGAGCAGGCAGGACACCAAGAAGCAGAAGCACAGAGTGTTCAGAGCAGGGAGGGGCTTGGCCGGCCCAGCAAGCGGTTTTTCCAGGTCTCCGGGTGGAGTGAAAAGCTTGGGAGGAGAGCGCGGGATCTCGCGGACACCTTGTGGCCAGGACCCCGGGACCCGCCGGGGCACGGACGCCGTTTTGGACCCTCAGGCAGCCCCCGCAGGCCGGCTCACACCTCTGGGTCCAGTGTCGGTTTGAGTCAGCAGCTCAGGCACGCCCCCTGCCGGAAAGCCGCTTCCCCGGCCTTTGCACCGCTTTGCTCCTGCCGCCCAGAGGCGGGTGCCCTGCGCACCGCGCGTCCTCGCTCCGCTCCACGCAGGTGGTGGGCACTGGCTTCGCACGTGGCCGTCCTGGCCCTGCGGGAACACCATCGCCTCCCAGGTGAGTGTGCAGGTGGCCGTGCCATCTCCTTTCTCACCCGCTCCCGGTACGGCGTGCCCGGCGCTCATCTCTTCAGCCGCGGGTCCTGAGCCCATCCCTGAGGAGCAGGGTTCCGGACACCCCTGGTGAGCGAGCAGCGACCTCAACGCACCTCTAAGTTGAGGGTAGGCAGGGCGTCCCCAGGGCCTCTTGGCAACCGCGGTCGCCCACAGGAAGGACCCCCATCACCCCGCTTGTTAGAAAGGCGGAGCGCTCGCCACTCCCCCCCCCCCGCCAGGCATACTCAGACCCCACGTAGGTATTGGCTCAGGTGACCTGTGTGCACCCACAAGGTTATTTGCCAGAAAATGTGGGTCCCTCCCAAACCTCGTGTGGTCCTGGGAGCGTGGGCACGGCCCCCCTCCGTCCCCCTGGAGAAGAGACATCGTCCCTCGGTCCCCTGGGAGAGCAGACACCGTCCCCCTCTGTCCCCCGGGAGCGCGGGCACTGCCCCTCTTGGTTCCCCGGACACTGTCCCCCTCGGTCTCCTTGGAGAGCAGACACTGCTACCCTCTGTTTCCCTGGAACGCGGGCACTGCCTGCTTCAGTCCCCCGGACACTGTCCCCCTCGGTCCTCCGGGAGCGCGGACACTGCCCCCCTCCGTCTCCCTGGAGGGCAGACACTGCCCCCCTCGGTCCCCCAGAGGCGCGGACACTGCCCCCCTCCGTCTCCCTGGAGGGCAGACACTGCCCCCCTCGGTCCCCCAGAGGCGCGGACACTGTCCCCTCGGTTCCCCGGAAGCAGTGACTGTTCCCCTCGGTCCCCCGGGAGCGCGGACACTGCCCCCCTCGGTCCCCCAGAGGCGCGGACACTGTCCCCTCGGTTCCCCGGAAGCAGTGACTGTTCCCCTCGGTCCCCTGGGAACGCGGACACCTTCCCCTCGGGGTCGGCGTCGGAAGCCGGTAGGGACGCCCACTCCCCCCTAGTTCTCGAGAGCGCCACCGAGTTAAAGGTAAAACTAAAGACGCTCTGGTCCCCCCTCGCCTCTTGGCCCTGACGGGGAAGCATTCTCGAAGTCTAGTTACAGGTTCGCAGTTAGATTTATTTTAAAGTCGTAGAATACCGCGAGATGTAGACCTGGTACCGGGCACGTTAATATCGCGAGACAACCGGGTCAGAGCATTTCGCGGCAAATGGAAATACCGCGAGAGGCGGCGCCGGAGGCGTTCCCTGTGGAAACTGGGGCGGGACAGAAGACGGCGGTGGTGAGGGTGGGCCTTTCCGGGGACGATGCCGTCTGCCTTCTCGGTCAGCTCTTTCCCCACCAGCATTCCTGCCGTGATCACGGTAACTTGTCGCCTTCTTGACCGCCAGCTCGGGCGATGGCGGCTGGGGCCAGTCCGGCTTCGTCCGCATCCGCCACGGACTCGGACGACACCGGATGGGGCGCGGGGCGGGGCCTGGCGGTGGGCGGGTCGCTCCGGGGCGGGGCCTGGCGGTGGGCGGGTCGCTCCAGGGCGGGGCCTGGCGGTGGGCGGGTCGCTCCGGGGCGGGGCCTGGCGGTGGGCGGGTCGCTCCGGGGCGGGGCCTGGCGGTGGGCGGGTCGCTCCGGGGCGGGGCCTGGCGGTGGGCGGGACGTTTCGGAGCGGCCCAGGGCCGTGAGAACCGACGGGGACGGGGTGGAGTTGGTGGGGGGGGTGCGCTCCGCCAGCGCAGTGTGACCTCCAGGTGCTGCCCTTGCCCTGCCCTGGGCGCCCTCCCTCCCGCCCTTCCCGTTGGGCCCCCCGCACGTTGATGGGGACAGGTAGCTTGTGGCCAGTCGACCCTGCAGGGCATGCGCAAGCGGCCGGGGACCCTGGGGAGTCCCGAGGGCTCTGCAGCGTCCCGCAGCGGTTCCGGCCAGTCTGCTGGAGGGGGTGGGGCAGGGCAGGCCGTGAGCCTGCAGGCGAGAGCCGAGATGAGGGGTCCATCTGAGCGTCGGGGGTGCGGACGTGCCCACCCTAAAGTTGAGGAGACCCGACCTGCCAGTGCTATTCGGGGGCCTGGCAGAAAGGTTGGAGAACATGGAGCAAACTGGGATGGCCCAGGTTCCCCAAGGCCTCGCGCGCCGGGCTCAGGAACTGTTCCTGCGCGTCCTGGGACGGTGATCCTTAGAAGCCTTATAAAGGGGATTTTGTTCAGTCAACGAAAGGGCAGGTCCGGGGTGCCTTCGGTTCTGTGCGCTCGGACGTTGAACCAGTGATCTTTCTCTCTGACGCCTGCGCCGTGGCCGCAGTGCGGAGGCTCCCTGTGTCCTTGCTCCCCTTTCCTTCGCCAGCACCTGCTTCTGGGAGGACTGCGCGCTCAGCAGCCCCAGGAGTGCTGGGCGTGGGGGACCGCGGGCCTCCCTGAGCCGGGGACGTGTTGGCCCCCACGCGAGGTGGGGTGGCGGTGATGAGTTTCTGGCGGTGTGTCTTGCAGCAGACGGACTGGACGGAGCCGTGGCTCATGGGGCTGGCTGTCTTCCACGTGCTGTGCCTGCTGCTCACGTGTCTCTCGGCCCAGAGGTATAAACTCCAGGTCGGGCACTTCCTGTGCTTAGGTGAGTAGGGTACGCAGGCGCTCTGTGACTCGGGCGCTGTGTGAGGTGACCGGGTGCGGGTGGGGCATCTCAGTGGGAGAGCGCCTTAGGGGAGGGAAGCAGGGAGTTGGCATTGCAGAAGGCGCCCTGGACCCCAGGTGGTGAGCAGAGTCGCTGCTTCCTGTCTGCACGGGGGGCTGACCCAAGCGCACTGAGGAAGGCGCGTGCCTGCCGGGCCTGCAGGGGCTGAGTGGGCAACAGCAGCTCCGTGACTTAATTCCAGACCTGGGTGTGTTGCTGTCCCCTGTGATACGCACAAGGCAGCAGAGCAGCGAAGCTCTGGGAAGGGGCCCCGTGCAGGTTGCGGCAGCAGCACGGAGGCGGAGGTGTCCCGGGCCTGCAGGCCGGAGCTGCAGCGAGGACAGTTCTGCGCGGGCCCTGAGGCTGGTCCCTCCGAGAAAGGTGCCAGCCGATCACTTGAGCTGACGTGTTAGGAAAACTTGACAACTTAAGAACTATGTGTGGGTTTCTTATCTTTGAAGAGATGGATGACTTTGCACAAGTGGGGGCAATAAATAGATGATGCTCTACGTGTGTTTAATATTCTGTGACTCATTTCCCTCTCAAACCCGCACAAGATTGATTGTATTCAGTGCAGTGTTGTTTGGCACATTTTTAGGACAGGCCCCCCGCCCCCCCAGGTCACTCAGCCCCTGGGTGGCACAGCCGAGAAATTCGTTACCTTGTCAGCTGGGGAGTGGCACCTGATAGAGATGGCGCCGTGCCCCCGCTCCACGCCTTCTGTGTCTCAGCCTCCCCCCCCCCCCCACCGTCTCCCTTTCCTGTGCCTTTTCTTCATGTGCCTCGTTAGGTCCAACCACGGAGGAGGGAGTCAGGAGACTGTAAAGCCCTGGTGCATTCTGTTTTGTGATTTGGGTCAAGGACAGGAAGGCTTTTCACATTTTGATTTACCTGAGAAATGAAAGCATCAGACTGTAGTTTGCCACGTTCCGCTGTGTGTCCTCGTCACGCCGGCGGTGCGGAGCGGGCACTAGGTCCGGGTGGCATAGCTGCGTGCTTCTGAGTCCCGGGCTCCAGGAGGGTCGTGGGCCCCACTCAGATAGGCTTGGGGACATCGTGACCCTTGCCGTGGCCACCAGAACCTCGGGGCAGGTCTCTAGCCGGCTCTCCCGTGTGCCCGTCAGGGAAGGTGCGAGGCGGAAAGCACCCGGTCGCACTGCGCTGGGACTTTTGGGACCGGGTCGCCGTGTCGGGGCCCTGTGGGAGCGCGGGCACGGTTTGCAGGGGAGAGCTGCTTCCGGCTCTCTCTGCGTCTGCTCAGCAGCTCTGCACTGCTCGCCCGCACCTCTCCTGGTCTCTCTGTCGAATGGAAGTGTCCTGCGATTTTAAATGTTATAGTCTTTATCTCACACCGTATCTAAAATGGTCCATTTCTCAGCAGGTTTTTGCTATTCTGTTACATTTATGTTAAAACACGGGTAATCCTGAAATGGTTCATGGTCAGTCATCCAGATCCTGACACACGGCTTCTCTCTTTCCAGTGATTTTGGTTTATTGTGCCGAGTACATCAACGAAGTGGCAGCAATGAACTGGAGGTAGGCGAATCCCTGTCCCGTTCACCGCCTGGGAGGCGCCCTCTAGCGTGGTCTGTGCAGTGGGAGCATTGCACGCCGACCGCAAGCCTCCGGGGAAGCCGAGTGGCTGAAGTCCCAGGGGCCCAAGTGCTTCTGCGCTGACAGGTTTAGGTCAGAGGAACGGCCTGTCAGATAGTTTAGGATTTGAAGGTTGGTTGATACAGTTCACGAGAGCATGAGAGAGTTCAAGGGGCTGTTTGAAGCAGCTCTAGTTGCAGGGTAAAGAAAGTGGCATTTTAGAGAGAGTTGGGCCCACATGTGGTCAGGGCGTGGGTGAGGCGCTCTGCGCCCTCCCCTCCCCTCCCCTCCCCAGACCTGCCGCATCCTCTTGAGGCCTCGAGGCCTCGGGATGTCCTCCCGCCCCGGCCGCCCTCCGGGGATCCCAGCTCCACCCCTAACACCTGCAGCCTCCTCGCTGCCGCGTCAGCCTCTGTCCCCGGGGGACGGGGTGGGGGGGTGAGACCCACAGAGCGTCACCATCCGCCCCTGCCCTCTGCTCCCAGCTCCGCCTTCATCCTGCGTGCGAGTCGGGCCCTGTGCCGGGTTACAGCTCGGCGCCTACACCCACGCGTGTGAGCGAGACACAGCTGTGCGAACCGGGGGCTCATCCGGGCGCCTCGGCCGTGTGCTCAGATGTGGGTTCCAGCAGCATCCACGGGCCGTATCTGCCCACTCTTTTCGTGTGGCCTGTGAGCCAAAAATGGTCTTGATGTTTCTAAGCGCTACAATGTTTACATTCTTCAATGTGAAAGAGAAGAAAAAAAGAGAAACTGCTAGACTCTCAGCAAAAAGGAGTTGAAGACCTTGCCTCCGGCCCTTCCGGGGGTGCGGGGTGCCACCCCAGGTGGTGTGCACGTCCGTCCCCACAGAAATGCCGCTCCCGCCCGCCCCGCACGTCCTCGCTCATTGCGCGCTGACGCTGGCCGCCACTGGGCCCTGGTGGCTCCTCCGGGTCCCTGCTGGAGCGTTGGGAGCCTTCCTGCGGCCCCCGCAAACCCATGCCCTCCCTGCTCCGTTTTTCTCCGGACCATCAATCACACATGGGCGTTTTGAGTGTCTTATTTTCCGAACCCTTTCCCTGGAGTGTAAGCTGTAAGCACGGCTGCCTCCCCTGTTCTCAGCCACGCCAGGGCTGACGACCGGCTCCTCCGTAACTGTCATTGTGCTAACGAATTGTTAGGCGCTTTATAAATAGTCGTTCTGCGTGTCACTGTGCTGGCCACAGACGAACGCCTGGGTACACCAGCCTCTGCCTGGGGCGGGTTGAATGACTCAGCCTGCTGGTGAGACTAGGAGCGGAGAGCCGGCTCAGAGTAGGTCCCGAGCGTCTGCAGCCCGTGACACCTCCAGGCCCGCAGACGGCACAGCACGTCCCAGCTGACGTCACACTCGCCGTTAAGCAGAGTGCACAAGTGTTTGCTTGGCCTCACAACATCCGCGGGTGGCTGATGTTGCTCACACCGCTGTCCTCCCCAGGCCCGGGCTCCTGCCTCTTGGCCGTGGGACTGACTGCATGTTCCCCTGCTGGGGGCGCTCCGGGTGGCAGAGCGGAGTGGGAAGGGCCGAGGGGGGGTTCCGTGGTGGGGCAGGCCGTGGCGCCTTGGTTGACTAAGTGTTCTCCAGGAGCCTTATGTTAGGGAATATCTCTAAGGACGTTGCTTTGTTATGCCAAGTAATTTTTAATTTTTTCCTAAAACAGGTCGTTTTCAAAATACCAGTATTTCGATTCGCGGGGGATGTTCATTTCTCTAGTGTTCTCAGCACCACTGCTGCTCAATGCCATGGTCATCGTGGTACGTGCATTACAGCCTTGTGAGCTCTCGTGTTGTCGGTGGATGTGTGTTTTCCAATTCTAAACACGTCTCAACATCATTGTTTTTAGATTATGTGGGTCCGAAAGACTTTGAATGTGATGACTGACCTGAAAACGCTACAGGAGAAGAGAAGAGAAAGGAAGAGAAAAGAAGAGTAACATTGGAACACTGTGTTCGTTTTCTTACAGACATTGTTTTCCTCTGTGTGGCTATTTCAAGGTTAAAGTGTGCATCATAGGCGCCCTCCTTACTCACCCGCTCGAGTTTGTGCAGAGGGTTCATTTACTGTGACATCCATGTTGTCGAATACCCTAAAAACTGGTTTCTAAAATAAACACTAGTCTCCTGTCCCATCTGGGTGTTCACGAAGCCTGGGTCCACCCGGGACCTGGGTGTCTTCCTGTCAAAGTGTACACGTCAGTAGTGTCCGCAGAGCGCGTCATCGTGGGCCGGCTTGTCACCTGTGCAGTTAGCGGTCATTATAAAGCACTGAAGCAAGTGACAAACGGCGCTGTCCAGACGTTGGTGCCCCCCCCGCCCCCCCCCCCCCCCGCGCTCTGCTTCCCGGGCTGCAGCCCCGCTGGTTCTCTGCGGAGGGAAGGGGCAAAAGGGGCAAAGTTGGTGACATTCTGGGCTGTTACCGGAGGGCTGGGGCCCAGGGCGGTCCCGAGCTAGGGATGATGTGACCTGGCACGTGGTACCTGGATTGAGAAGCCCTGGGCTGGAGTGAGACCCGGGGAGCAGCTCCCAAAAAGACCCAGGCTCGTGGGCGCAGGGCCAAGTCCAGGAGGCGAGGCTTCTGTGAAGGGCGCACAGTCAGCCTGGGGCAGAGGAGGCTTGGGGCTCCTCTGTGTTCTCGCAGCAGTTACAGGAGTAGCTGCAGAGGCCTCCACGTCAGGGCTCCGGGGAGAGGTTTTCGGGAGGCAGGATTAGGAGTAGAAATACTCAGTGACTGTTCAGCGGTTTCAGCTAATAGATTTTTACAACAAATGACAAGATTATAGTCCTTCCTAATTTCACTTTTTAAAAGTGTGCACTGGGTGTTATATGTAAGTGATCACTAAATTCTACTCCTGAAATCATTGTTCCGCTGTATGTTAACTAACTTGGATTTACATTAAAAAATAAAAGAATAAAAAAAAAGTGTGGGTGCTCAGGAACGTGCTAGCACTTGTATGAGGACAGGTGTGCCGTTCCCTCCCAGCGGCTCCTCCGCAGGCCTCCAGGGGGGCCTCTCCGTTCTCCGTAGCTGGAGGGCGACAGGTGAGTAGGGATCAGGTTTGTAAAAGTGCAGTGCGCAGTAAAGGAGATGCTGCTGGCGCTTGATTTGGGTTTGAAAAAAATTGTGAATAGTTGTCTTAATTTTAACAAGATTTTTCCCTCTAAGTGAAACATATTCTTTAAATTAAAAAAAAAGGGTCTGTCTGACATTTACATTTAGCAGCTTAAAAGGTGACGCTCTGATAGATTTTTATTTTTATTAAAAAATTATTTTTAATGTTTATTTTTGAGAGACAGTGCAAGTTGGGGACGGGCAGAGAGAGGGAGACACAGAATCTGAAGCAGCTCCAGGCTCTGAGCTGTCCGCACAGAGCCCGACGCAGGGCTCGAACCCATGAACTGTGAGATCATGAGCTGAGCCGAAGTTGGATGCCTAACTGACTTAGCCACTCAGGCGCCCCCACTTTGATAGATTTTTAAATTAAATCTTGAAATTGAGATAATATTTTCCTGAACAATGTGAACTCAGTAGAGAAACAATTTACTGATTACTGACAGTTTTAGAAGGGAGTTGATAGAATCTTCTAGACAGAGCCAGTGGAGTCTTTATTGTGGCATGTTTTCCAGTTCCTTCTTGATGTGTTCTCTTTTGTATTGAACATAAAAAGTGGCTTCAAAGTAGCATCCGAGTTCCATCAAATTTCAGACGCTTTGCACCCGAAGCCTATGAGTCAGATGTTCCCCATCAGGCTCAGAGACGGCTCACGCGACACGGCCTCACCCCCAGAAGTAGCTGCGTGAGCCCACGCGAGGCAGAGGGGATATGCCAGGCCGTGGAGGGAAGGGGACACGGCTGCGCGCCCAGCCTCACGTGGCTGTTGGAAGGTCTCCACTCTCCATAACTATCTGGGCGGTCAAAGTATGGGACCCTCTGGATGTCATAGTGTAATATTATTAACTTGGTCTGAATTTGGTTTTAATAGCGTATATCAGTGTGAAAACATGACACAGGGCCACATTTGTGTGTGTGTGTGTGTGTGTGTGTATAATTTTGAGGGGGGCAGTTATACTTCGTTTTCTCACACACACAAACCTTTTTTAACTGGTAAGTTCATATTCTGTGCCTTAAATTGCAGTTGTTAACAAATGTTTTAGTTCCCATTGTCCTGGGAAGGAAGGTCCTACCCACCAAACTGCCTGATGCGTCCACACGACATCCTCCCCTCTGTTTAAGTGAAGCACACGTTTTACCTGCATATTTATTAGCAAAGAGGGGGAAAAGATTCATGATAGAACTGTATTTTGCGTATTCCTAATCTGTGACCCCTTCAGTGTCTTGATGGACGTTGACTCTCTCACTGACTTGATTGACTATATGATATGTTTAATACCATATAGTATGTTTTTTCCCTGAAATCATACATGGTTTGACTTTGCTGTGGGCGAAGCAGGAGCATCCAGAACGCTGGCCCCACTGGTGGCCGTGTGGCCCCTCACCTGGCCCTGAACCTCACGCACCCAGATGCGCACTTTTGTCAGAAAATCAGCACAGACACACACATAGCAGGTAAGAAGGTGACACAGAAACCTGCATTATTTACTGTGACAAAGTGGCAAGGACATGGTGACATGTTCTCACCCTTTACAAAAAATTTAAAGTTAAAAAACTTTTAGGGACACCTTGGGGGCTCAGTGGGTTAAGTGTCTGACTCTTGACTTCAGCTCAGGTCATGATCTCAAGGTTATGCAGCCTGCTTAGGATTCTCTCTCTCTCTCTCTCTCCCTGCCCCTCCCCTACTTGCTCTCTCTAAATAAGTAAAATTTGAATGTCAAAGCACTCAAAAATTTTTTTAATTTGGAATCTTCATTGAGCAGGGATTTGGAGTAAGGAGTTTCAGTGGAAATGATGAGTCACCCCAACAGCTGCTCTGTTCTTTGGAAAAGTACTTCCTGGTCCCAGACACCCTTCTTTTTCCACACTGTAGAGGACACGTTTTCAGGGCCTCCTGCATCGACAGGAAGTGAAGAAACCAGAAGCAGTGACAAACCTTATTAATCATCAAAACAGTAAGGACAAGTGGTCCCCGCACATTTCAGGGAAAACTTTCATGTCACACTGGCGCTGGGCTGCGCGGTGCTGGGGGGAGGCAGGAGCACCTGCGAGTGACCTCCGCATGTCCCCCATGTGACCTCCGCGTGACCTCCGCATGTCCCCCATGTGACCTCCGCGTGTCCTCTGTGTGTCCGCCTGGTTCTCGGACCCAACAGCTTTCCTCACTTTGGGGCAGGTTGGCGCTACTCCCTCCCTGGCGGGGTTGGAGGCTCGGAGCTGCCCACGTGCGGGCTCTGGGCCAGCAGCGCCCAGAGGAGTCACAGTCCCCTGGGGAGGCCCTTCCCTCCTCGCCCCTCCCCTCCCCTTCCAGTCTGTCCCCAGTCCCCACCTCTTGTTGTTCCCTGTGCTGCGGGTCTCACGTCCTGGGCTCGCTGGTGACATCATTGCCCTGTCTGCAACGGTCACGATTACATTTGTGATTTCCACCGATCGGTGTCCTCAGAAGTATTTTTCAGTTCCTTTTATCGTGATCATATTTCAGTATATACATCGTTTTCAATGACTGCATTGTAACCAGATAACAAGTTCAATTTACTTAACCGGTTACTGGAGGTGCCGAGCTTTTCTGATTATTTCCCTAACTAAAGCACTACAAAACACTGTGACTTCAGAGGCCGACTTTTGCATGTTAGTTATTAATGTGGGATAAATCCTGCAAGTGAAATTAAGTCAAAATATATAAACATTTTATTGCAACTGATAAATATTGCTAAGCCAGTCTTCAGGAAGCATAAAGCAGCATTGTTCGCACGTGTTTCCTTGACCCTGTCTACTCCAGCTGGCAACATTAAAAAAATACTTTTCTGATGAATAAACACAAATTTTATCTCATTGTTTTAACGCGCGTTTCCTTGGTTACCAGGGAGGCTAACATTTTTCACATGATTATTGACATTTTGCACTTTGGGGGAATAATCTATTCATATACCGTATTTCTCTTTACGGCAGTATTGCCTCTTAAAAATTATTTCTAATTTTATATATTAAAATTACTAACACATGTAAGGCACAAATGTCTTTCCAGTGTGCAGTTTCATTTAGGCCTTTATTATAAGAGTTTAGAACTGTGAGAAATTCTTGTGTTCTCTGTATTTACTGTCATAGCTGTGAAGGGCCAAGAGTCAGGCCCAGGGCAAGCTAAGAGCGCACGGCGCCTCCTGCATGAGGGTGGTTAGCCCAAAACAGTCTCTTTTCAAATTTACTCATTGATTTATTTTGCATAGATTTTGGCTGATGTTAAATGTTTGGGGGGTTTGTTTCATTTGCTTATACGACTTGTCTGACCCGTGAAGTCACGGGGACCAGCCTCTACTCTTGCTACTCCTCTGGCCTGGAAGTAGGTACTCATATCAGAAGGATTCAGTCAAAGAAGTCAGTCCAATTTACGTTAAATCCATATTTTGTGAGGTTACATGCATTTAATAGTAAAAGTGGCAATTAAAAAATAGTAGACTCAGGCAATTTATATTTCGATATACAAAAGTTTATCCAAGAATCTCTGAAAACATACTTGGGGTATAATATTATATAGCTTCACATTTTTGAAATATATTTAGTGGGTGCTTGTGGGATTTATTTATTTTTTTTCCAGCACAGTGTTCAGCCCCAATCTCCGTTTCACTTGCTTCTGTGGCTGGTCACCCCTCCTGTTGCGGGAGGAAGGGGCCCCGCATTCCTCCAGCCGCTGGGGTGCCTGTGACAAGTGGCATTGGGATGTTTACTGCCTGGAGTGTCCACTGAGCAGAATGACGGACACCCTGAGGACCACAGAGGTGGAGAAGGCACCGACTGGGTGGGTTTGTGCTCCGGGTGCGCCCACGTTCGCCCTCCGGGAGAGCCTTCCAGAGGCCCTGGGGGTTCCACGCCCCACCCTACCAGTGAGGCGACCTCCTGCTGACACCAAGTTACCTGCACCCTCAGCTGAGATTCTGGAACAATCTCTGGGCCGTGGCTGTGGGATTCCTGCACTAGCGCATGGTGGCTGTAAAACTGCTCATGAAAAAACATGTTTTTGAGAAT